ATCTATCTATCTATCTATCTATCTATCTATCTATCTATCTATCTATCATTTTCTATATCATCACAGAACACTGATAGTGGAATGAAAGAAAATAATTCTATCAACAATGTTAGTTTCCATTGTTGATAGAATTATTCTCTGATCTTAAAAATCCACTACTGTGGATAATTTCCTAACTTCTAGAGAAGACACTTGAGGCCAGGGGGCGGGGGGAGGGGGTTATAATGGGTAGAAGGAAGTCTGTTAAAATTTAAGATTACTTGCATTTCTCCCATTGCCTAAATTTCCAGTAATCCCTTGCTGTGATCCAACCCAATTAAGTGTTCTATGCATTTAAGTTGTTACTAAAATTTAACCAAGTTAGGTCTACCACAGACCCCTATGCTGCAGCTAAAGTATCTTTGCACCCACAGAAATTAATACGGGTATAAATTAATAAATTAATACGGCATATGGAAGTTTGTGTTGTGGCGGTTTTTCAAATTAGAAGTCTAAGAAGAAAATATTAAATGAATCAACCAGGGCAATAAGTTCCTCCCCAAAATGCTACCTAGCTCTAATCAAGCAAGGAGTACTATATGGAATATTCCAGAGGCTAATTCCTGGATCATTCAGCAGCCCTTTTCTTTACCTACAGAAACCATTACACAATTTAACTGCAAGTATCTATTACTCTCCCACCAGTTCCCTTCTTGGAATAAAGTAGCAGACACTCCCTTCCTCAGTTTCACTTATTTTAGAGAAGACCTGTCCTTGTAATGTAGGACAAATTGAGATTTTAGCACGTGTCTTTTTGTACGCTTGTTTTACCAAGACATGTTTTGCTACTATTGCTATTTCTTTACCATTTACTAATATACCAGCAAGGATTGTTCTGTTTTACTTCTTTTGGTAGATAATGGTTCAGTTTTACAAAATATTTTCAAATTTTGAACTGGGACTTGTAGAGTTTGCCAATTGATACTTCAAGATTTGGCCCAACAGTAAACTGCTATTGTTTTTTTTAGTTTCTTTTTAGTCATGTTTATATTTTATACCGATATACACGTTTATAGATGTAGTGGTTAAGGTTCTGGCCTAGAGACTGGGTTCTAGGCCTCCCTTAGGCATGAAAGTCATCTGGGTGACTTTGGGCCAGTCGCTCACAGCTTAGCCCAGGGGTGTCAAAATCATGGCCTGTGGGCCGGATGTGTCACCTGCTGGCCCCGTCCAGTTTAGCGAAGGGGGAAACAGTCCCGCTACATCCAGTGGTGGGATTCAAATTTTTTTACTACCGGTTCTGTGGGTGTGGCTTGGTGGGCGTCGCAGGGGAAGGATACTATAAAATCTCCAGCCATTTGCTGGTTCTCTGAACTACTCAGAATTTCTGCCACCGGTTCTCCAGAACTGGTTAGAACCTGCTGAATACCACCTCTGGCTAAATCATATGATGACACCGTGATGACACAAGTGTGACATCCCTAGCTTAGCCAATCTCCCAGAATAGTTGTTGAGCAGGCAAGAATATTAGGTATGTTCACAAACTTGAGTTGGCATAAAGTGGGATAAAAATTAATAACACCTTCCTCATTAAGTTATTAAGAGACCAACTGTATTAAATGCTGCATAAACATAAGTGACAATAATAAAAAAAATAAAGAAAAAATATCTATGCTGTATTTCTATGTGCCTATGGTGAAATGAAATGTGCCAGGCATTATACAGAACTACCTGGCACCATTCATATCTTATTATCTTATATAGTAATATAAAACTTTCGATACAAACTAACTTTCAGCATTTTTCAGGAATACTGAGAAAGTAGAGAAGCTTACTACTGCATATGTCAGCGGCCCCCAATCTTTTGGGTGCCAGGGACCGATTCCATGGACAGAGGTTTCTTTGCGGACCGGAGGAGGCATGGTTTTGTGTGCTGCCTGCATCCCATGGATGGGGCTTCACTTGTTTGCACGGCTCAATATTGGTCCATGGACCAGGGGTTGGGGACCCCTGGAATACATTATAGGTATCAACTGTCTTTTCAGCTTCAGGAGACATACAACTTTTATTTATACAGAGAGCTTTCTCCAAAATATTTTGAATCTGTAGATTTTTTAAAAAATAGGGGGGAAAATATATTTCTTAAGATTCTGTATTTCTAACTTTGTAAACCGGTTCATTTACAATGGCCCAACAAAGCCTTATTGTTTCTTGTGAAGTAACTATTTATTCTCCACTCCTAATTGTACTTTGTATTCTAGTTGTTTATATTACTTATTCCACAGTTGTGCTGACTAGAGAGCAACTATGCAATTTATATTTATTGGGTATCAGTATAGCATATTGTAAGAGCTCAGCCAACTGTAGCCGATTCAATCATCTACAGTTAAACAGATCATGGTTTAGCATGCTGGGTCTAGGAACAGGCTTAACAAAACATATAAAGAATGACAGCTACACATATTAAAGCAAATTATAATTAATGGTTTATCTGAAACCTATCCTGGCTCAATAAGCAGCTGTAAACCGTCTATATGTGATATAGACTGCCTCTCTCCAGGCAAAACCCATCCGAGGGGATTCACAAACAGAGAACCACTTAATAAATACAATATTAGTTCAGAAACAGTCAAAAGTCACAAACACAGCATCCTACTCAGCATCTTCTCCCTAATCTCTAAGGGGAATGAAAAACAAACCAACCCTAAACAACTCAGAGAGGGCAGCAACATGCTTGCTTTTACGAGAAAGTGAGTAACCTCTCTTCAAAACCACCTTCGGATTTAAAGGACCTCCTCGCCGTTTAGGAACTACTAACCTTTGCACCTTGGGAAACAGCAGCAACACTTAGCAAGAAACCAGCCCCGGCAAGACCTGCTGGCGTAGGTAGCTTGTTTCCCCTCCTTCATTCCGCCTGGGAGACAATCATGTCAAATCGAGCAAGTAGCCACGCAGTGCCCCCGGGTCATTCCCGCGACTAATTCCGCAATATCTCACGGAGAGTGAAAGGGGAAGGGGAAAAAAAACAAAAAAAAAAAACTACCCCTCGAAAGGGAGGAGCTTTAGGACATGAGAGGCGGACTCACGGCCACAACCGCAGCTGGTGGTTATCTGCCCAAACTTGCAACAACGCGGGCTCTGAGCAACATTGTGCAATACCGCGACTGGGAGTAATACACGCCTATTGCGAAGCTGGTTTTTTTTTTTCTTTCTTTCTTTCTTCCCATGCCTAAAGTCCAAACGCTGCAGTGAATTCTTGTGGTTTAGAAAAAGGACAATTTACTGCCTCCAAACGTTGCAAAGTAATAATATAGGCAGCGTTCGCCTTCGGCTTGGATCCACCTAACTAAGCCGATTGTTTCAAGACCTTGCGATCAATCCCGTCAGAAGGGAACCTTTTGGAGGGATTTCTTGGGAAAGAAAGTAAAAGAAATCCACCCACCACCCGGGTACGTTTTCTGGCGAGATCGTGGTCAAGGAACTAATATTTGAAGCGCGTGGAACTAAGCATTGCAATTCAAAAATCTTTCAAAGGGAAATGTTTGAGGGGCGGGTTCTGCACTTGTAGTACAGAAAACCAAAAATGTCACATGAGAAATGTCCCCAACGTCCACACGTGGTAGAGAAGTTTCACCAGATATGTAACTGTTAAGGACGCAGGGGCGGGAGGGGGGAGGTGAAGGGAAAGCAGGCAACTCAAATCTAGAGTAAAGGTAAAAAGTAAAGGTTTCTCCCACTCAGTCGTGTCCGACTCTAGGGGGCGCAATTTATCTCCGTCTCCAAGTCGAGGGAGAATAGTTGGTAATAAATCCCATTCAAATCCTTTTCCAAAGGACCCGTCCTTCCCCCTCCTCCCCCCAATTTCCATATGTATATTATGGAAAATATTTAAAAATATTGGTGAGGCTAGAAAGCATTTCTTGGGAACAGCTGGCAGGAAGTTCACACATGGTGACCATGTATTTGTGGGATGATTGCCAGTGTTGTTTGAGCCAGCGGCCCAGTGTCTCTTAATGATTGCATAACTCCCTCAACCCTTTCAGTGATTCACTTAAAAACCGTGGTAAAAGCAGTTGTAAAATGGGGCATGGCTCATTTAACAACAGCCTTGCTTAGCAATGGACATTTTGATTGCAATTGTGGTCATAAGTTGCGGACTACCTGTAGTTCCTTCACTATTTCACTTTCAGTGAATCTAGTCTGTGAACTACAGGTGAAGGGTGTGACAGACATTTCTTAGTAATGTCTCCGCTTAGCATTTTAGAAGGAAAACTCGACCTTTGCTGTGATTCTTTGCCACTCCCTTCCTTATTTATACTCAGAGGTAGCTATTTTATCTATTTGAAGAATACCACAGGGAGCTGTTTGCTTTTCTTGGTTTGTTATGGTGTGATGTTTCTGGACCATAAATTCCTTTGGAATGTTCTTAATAAATGGCAGCATTACATTAAGATTGGTCATTGCTACATCTGACTCAGCACTGCATTTCTGACAACTCACAGAAATTACGTGAAAGCTTGCTTTGTCATAAAAAGAAATAGGGGAGAAAACCTTTAACTGTTTAAGCATGCATGCTAGGGGATTACACCTATTTAAGAGGAAGAATATCAAGTTAAGTCACGGTTTCTTTGCCCGATCATAATTAGCTGAGTTCCAAGATCACCCTGTGCTGTAAACTATGAGTTATAAACCTACAATGGTTGGGTTTTCACAACACACTAAGCCAATTTACCATGCAATTTTAACTTAATGGGATACCTGAACCCAGTAAGCAGTTGATTGTTACTCAGTTAACACAATGACACCTACACTTTTGATCAAATGGAAGTAAATATGAAACATTAACATGTTAAAAAACATGAAAAATGAAGTTTGGCAAGGCACAATATTTTACTCTGGTGGTTTTGACTGGGTTGCTAATTTGTTGATAGAATTAGGACAGGTTAATATTCCTTTTGCATCATGCTACAATTGCCCATGATGATAGTTTACAGCCTATAAATCTCAAAAAAGAATATGTCCTACGAACAAAACAATTTTGGATCTTTCCCTTATCTAGTGCTCATCTGGATTTTGGTAGCCCACAGCTGGTAGCCTAGTCCTATTGATCTAATCTAATATATCTTCATTAACTTTTTGGTATAAGTAGTTTGCTAGTATTGTCTTTTGTTAGAGGCAAAAAGTAGTTGAATATTTCATGCATGGAGATTCATCAAATGACAACTGTTTAATTTTCTGATTCTTGCTAGTGACATATGATTCTGTATCAAAAGGAACAACACAACCGTATTCATCTGATGTAATTCACACACACCCGCCCCAATACCAAACCCATCATCCAGAGATGGTATTCAGCAGGTTCTGACCAGTTCTGGAGAACCGGTAGCAGAAATTTTGAGTAGTTTGGAGAACCGGCAAATACTATCTCTGACTGGAGATTTTACAATATCCTTCCCCTGCCATGCCTACCAAGCCATGCCCACAGAACTGGTAGTAAAAAAAATTGAATCGCACCACTGCCATCAGCTCACACATTTTCCTTTCTAACAAATGGGCTGTGCATTTTGGCCATTCCTCATCCTTTAATGACCAAATAGCTACCTGTTTTTTATTCCTATAGGTTGAAAGCAGCTAAGAATTACCTTCATTTGAACCAACCAGATCATGAAAACACAAATGCTATGTTGCTACTTCATTAAAATAAGATTATGAAAATGTGAAAAAAGTTCCAGTGGGACACCAAGCTCAAGCAAACTACTTTTTCTAATATGCAAATTGTCAGCATCTGTTTTGTCATGCCCTGTTTTGCACAAGAAAGGGAAGCATAATGCATTGTTGTTGAATATTGAGGAAGTGTACAGGTGGCAAAATTATCCTGGAAATATATAGGAAAGGCCAGTGGGTTTCTTGGATTGTAAACAACACTTTCAGTAAAGCTAGATGGTCATTTCTTGGGTCAGTGGAAAGATTCCAAATAACAAGTTTCCTCAGTAAATTATGGAGGGATAAGCAAAGCAAAACAAAACAAACCAACAACAACTAAGCAAGCAAGCTCATGCTACAGTATGTTAAACTTCAATGCAACATTTCCTGGAAAATATACTACTTACTGGCAGAGCAATCTAACCAAACCGGCTGTTTAATTTTGCAACAGACATATTGCTATAGTATTGAATTCACATGATGGTTTATGAGGAAAGCAGTGGTTATTTGAAAATAACAACTCTGATGTGAGGAAAGAGGTGGGATAAGCTGCTTCTGTAAGGGTGAGAAGTCCAATGTCTTTCCCTTAGTCAAAGCAGACATACAAAGCAGGGCATCTGTTTAAAAGGAAATGTCAGCAATTGCTTCTTTGTCTGCCTTTTTCTGCTTTTCCTCCAATATAACAATATGACAGGTCTCATCATCCTGCACCACCCTTTGAATTTCATTACTCTATAAACTCTACTTAAAAAGAACAAAATATCCTCACAATAGGCTTTCAATAGGTGTGTTCCTACAAAGTACCATTCTATCCACCAAACTTAACTTGAACGGCCGACAATGAAAACAAACAAAGCTACATTATAGCTTGAAGTATGGCCTACTTCACACAACACACTTAGATTTATTATGATTGCTTGCACAGTCAGCCAGATGTTTAGACTTTGATTTGGCCTTTTTTTTTTTTTTAGCAACCTATCAAGTCCTTCTCAAGAACCTGGGATAGGGAGATTTTTTTTCATGGTGTTGAAAGTATCACCATGGGATGTACGCTGTTCCATGGGAGACTGCCTTTTGCAATTGACTGATAGGGATTTTTGTCAGTGCCTGATGCATCCAAGCACCTATTACTATTGATACTATCTTTGCTTTCTTTTGCCATAGTTGTTCTATTTCTTTCTGAAGGTCTTTCTATTTTATATTTTTAACCCAATTCCTTCTCTTTTCTTCTGGTGTCTCCAGGTACTGCAATGTCCAATATGCAGACTTTTTTGTTTTTCTTCTCAGCAAATGTCAAATCTGTGGCACATGCTTGTCTGTTTGAATTCTAAAGTCCTAGAGCACTTTAGTATCTTTATTTCTTATCTTACTTTGTCTATTTTGTGGTCCCACCAGTTGTTGCTTTTGGAAAAGGTATTTCTTGCAGATATTCAAATGTTGCTACTTTGTTATGCCATTGTTTCTCATTAATCTGTTGATTGTCTTGCAGCAACTAACTAGATGATCACTATTTATTTGGTTTTTCTTTTATTAAAGTTAGTTGCACTCAATCATATGTTTAGACTGGGTTTGGCATTTTATCCTCCTATTGAGTCCTTCCCAAGGACCTGGGATAGAAAGATGTTGTTCTTTGATGGTGTTAAAGGTGTTGTCCGATGATGTAAGTTGTTCCAAATAAAGCTGCCTTTGCAATTGACTGATGGTGATTTTACCAATGGCGTTCAAGTGGTGCTCCAAATGTTTTGGGATTGTACCCAAGCTGCCTATCATTATTGATAAATTTACTTTCTTTTGCCACAGTCATTCTACATTTATTTGCAGAGCCTTGTATTTTGTGATCTTCTCCAGTTCTTTCTATTCTGCTGTCTCCAGGTATTGTTTTCTTATTTTTTTGGACTTAGCCATTGTAGTTTGCAACCATGGCTAAGATACTGAACCAGAATTAGGGAAACTTATCCACCTTTAGCTCTGGAAGTTCACTGGATGACTGAGCAAATGACTCTCTCAGCCCAACCTACTTCATGGACCATTATTCTAGACAAAAAAACAGAAGGGATGTCATATGTACTTGCCTTGAGCTCTTAGAAAGAGAAGAGAAAGATAAACATACAAAATAAAAATAACTAAGTGACTTTCTTCACCCAGCATCTAAATCTTAACATGGGTATCTTTGGTTTTGGCTAACCACCTTATCTGTCGCATATGAGCACATCATTGAGAAGAACCATGTTTACTGCAAAATAGTTAGGGTGCCTGCTGTAGAAGAAAGAAGGACCTTGAACAATGGAGAAGATTATTATAGAAGTTGAGAGCTACAAGGTGGGACATTAATCTAGACAATCCAATTTGCTGGTCAGTTTGGGGGTGCTAGGCAGGTCTTTCCCAGTACTATTGTGAGGCAAAATGGGTTTTTCAGCAGAGCTGAAGAAGTTCACTGTGAAGAAGATGGAATGCTGAGGTCATCAGCTGAGGTAGGTGGAAGGTTGGGGTTTCTCTAAATTGCAATTTCCTTGTAACAGCTGCCCTTGGGCTGTGCTATGAACCGATGAAGATGTTTCTATTCTCTGGTTTTATGAAATTGCATGGGTATTGCCTGGGGCAGGCAAGGAAGGTCAATTTAAATCTGATGGGATTAGGCAAAGAGAGGAACTGGTTTTGACCCCAGGCCATATCTAAAAGACAGGGGAGGGAGAAGGTTGCAGTCTCTTTTTGTTTGTTAAATTTATTTTCTCCAGGACAATAACATATCCCAGTTTGACTTCTAGTCAAGCAGAAGTATTGGTGTTTTTTCCCCCCAAATTATGTTGGTGGGGGGTGGGTTATCACAGAGGTGGTATTCAGCAGGTTCTGACCTGTTCTGGAGAACCGGTAGCAGAAATTTTGAGTAGTTTGGAGAACCAGCAAATACCACCTCTGACTGGAGTTTTTACAGTATCCTTCCCCTGCCATGCCCACCAAGCTATGCCCACAGAACTAGTAGTAAAAAAATTTGAATCCCACCACTGAGTTATCATAAGTAAAAATAGATAGCTCTGCTATAATTCTTCTTCCTGACAAACTAGGTTCATTCTTGTTTTATAATATGCAAAGATCTTTGTTTTGTCTGATGAAGCAGTCAGTCAGATGGGGTTAAAAGTGGGAGAGAGTTTGGACAATGTAATTGAAAAGTTTTTGAAGACCAGGACTTCTACTATTATTAAGATTGTTGGAAGCATTTGAAAGAGATGTTTCACAAAGTGTGAGAATACAATGAAACCGTTCTCTTCAGATTGTTAAAGCTGCTGCATTTTGAGCATGAGCTTTGCAACAGGTTGAGAAATACTTTTTCAAAGTTTTGCTCAGTTCGAAACATTATGCTATTGAATATTTCCCTTTTAAATAAATGTTTATTCATAATTTCATTGAATAACTATTACTGACAATTTCCTATCAGCATAAATCAAGAATGCCCTCTTGTGTGGAGAATGAAGAATAGCACATTAATCTGACTGAAAGTGGCATGGATTGGCAATCATGGACAGACTAAATCATCATCAGCAGATGGATTAGTAACTGGCTGACTCAGTGTGCAGTCCTTACTGGAGTTGCATCTACATGGAGGGAAGTATGCAGTGAAATACCTCAAGGTTCTGCCTTTATCAATAATTTAGATGAGGGGATAGAAGGGGAACTCATCAAATCTGCAGATGACAACAAGCTGGAGGGAATAGCCAATACTCCAGAAAGTAGGTTCAAATTACAAAAGGATCTTGACAGACTTGAACACTGGGCTCTATCTAAAAAAATGACATCCAATAATGAGAAAAGTAAGGTTTTACAATTAGGCAAGAAAATCCAAATGCACAGATGTAGAATAGGTGGTACTTGGCTCAGTAGTAATAACTGTGAGAAAGATATTGGAGTCCTAATGGACAACCACTTAAATATGAACTAACAATGTGCTGCAACCACCAAAAAAAGCC